AGTAACCATCCTATGACCCACAAAGTTAGCTGCATAAGAACGCTATTTAGATGAATAGACTCCCATTGCAGCACAGCCAAAGCTAAAAGGGAAGAAAGAAACCATCTCTTCCAAATATGCTGACGCAATGGTTACCCTACCAGGTTCATCAGACGCTGTAGTATACCACCCAAACCCCGGATGAGCTCGGATATGGAGGAACTCCCATCACAGATAACCCGTGTCACCCTCCCTTACATCAGCAATGTTTCAGAAGCAACAGCCAGGTTGTTAGCCCCCCATAAAGTGAGGATGGCTCACAGACCTGATCAAACTTTAAGAACCAAAGTGATGCGCCCAAAGGACCCGCTCCCCAACACTGAAAAATAGGCAATCATATATAAAATCAACTGCAAAGATTGCCCCGTTAATTATGTTGGAGAGACTTCAAAAAGAATGAAGACTAGGGTCCATGAGCATAAATTAGCGGTAAAAAGGGGGGAACAGCACTCCCAAGTATGGGCGCACATGGCGGATTCTGGACATTGCTTTGACTTTGATAATGTATGCATCCTGTCCGGTGACAACACGAAAGAGGGCCGGTTACTAAAAGAGGCATGGCTCTCTGACAGGGACTCTGTCAACCGGCACATCGATTTGTGCCTGGCACATCTAACTTTAAGAGCATGGAGCAGGCGAGACCACCCACCCCTAAGGAGACACCCTGCAACAGTACCACGTAACCCTAGGGAAGAAGTTATGGAGGGGATGAATTTTCACCCCCCACAACAACAGCAACGGCCCATGGACATTCAGGAGAATAGTCAATGATTGAGGGACTTCTGCCCCCTTGCTCCAGGACCATGCACACGCTCCCAGACAGTGAGAGAACGGTTGCATGATGAGAAAGAGGCAATTAGCCAACGAACAATCATTCCCGACCCCCCCCAAACCCGAAACAGCGATGATCCAGCAGCATCAAGAAAGAAGGAGGATGGGACCGGCTTGCCCTGTGACGACAGTCCATCAACGGAAACAACAGAGCGCCAATCGGAACGCCCGAGAGAATATAGAGATCGAGAGCAGTGTGAATGGGGGGGAAATGCAAATAAGGGTAGAACGTGATAGAAACTGTAAAAAAGATCACTGTGTTGATGGAGGGAGGGATACAAAGGAACCAGGCATACGTATTCAAAAAAGGAGGGCACACAAGGGCTTGTATGAGGAGGAAGGAGCTATTCAAGGGATTCAGTCTGACGTGGAGTCCGAGAACATTGATAATGGGGTGAAAGAGCAAGTAGATGTCAGATGGAATGGCAACGACAGAAACTGAGTTTATGCAGCCAAAGAGAGGGAAATGGAAAGCAAGGGATGGGGAGAAAGGCTGAGAGTGCACCTCCATAGAATGAGGGATGACAATTGGGGAGCAAGTAAAGATCAGAAGAAGGAGGAAGGTAGGAGACACGGAGGTATGAAGAGGGAACAACTTAGAGATACGAATGACCAAAAAAGGGGAGGAAAGAACCTCCCTAATTCAAGACAGTGGGAGGTAGAGGGGAATAATGGCACACCCACAAGCAGTAAAAGCAAGAAAAGAGGAGTCATCAGTATGGAAGCCATAATTAAAAAGCAGTTAAATCAATTAGGACCTACGACAAGATCTAGGAGCCGTGTGCAAATGACGGCTCACCTATAAAGGCACTCTCCCACAGACCAGCATTAACCCTGACGATGTCAGAAGTATCTGACGAAAGCTTGGTGATCGGTGATGGTATTAAACTTTTATAGTTTATTATATTCCTGGTGTTCACGTTTTATTATAATTGACTATACATATATATATATATATGAATAAACATAAACACAGAGAGAGATGTATAATTACATTAGAAATTGTAAAGCCATTTCATTACCAGAACTAAAGAATAAAAGGGAGCCTCAGTGAAACCAAGGAACATATTTCCAGGCTCTACTGTGGGGATTTTCCACTGCTAAATCATGTTTGCACAATCTTTTGGAGTACTTTCAAAAAGAGGAGAGGAAGACCTTCTAGCCAATTTACTGAAACAGGCAATTTTGCCTGTTTGCCTATAAAAGGTTTTTAAGGTAATCCACTGCACTCTCTCTCCCCCCCCCAAACAATAACTGTAGATATTGGCAACACTCTTAAGCAAATGAAAAGAAGGTCTCTAAACTATGGGACCAAATATAAGTTGAAGAGGCAACAATGCTGGCTAGATACAGTTTGAATACTTGCATTAGATTCCTGGGATCTCAAGTATGAAGGAAAAAAACTATAATTGGCACCGAGAATATTCCTAATCAAACTCTCTTGACAGAATGGATTTTTTTTTAAAAAAAGAACAACTTAGTCTACCTGGTGACTTTTTAATTGAACATGTGAACAAAATCCCCATTACACAAAGGTTACAGGTTGAGACTAGCTCAAGATTGTGGGGTTCATCAATATTAGCCTTGAAAGCTGCAAATTATTCTTTGATTTCTGATCTTGAATGCAATAATTTGGGCACTTTCTTACAATCTTTGTTTATTTGAATATTCAAACATTTTTTTTGTTGTATTGCAAATTTTATTTTCTTTAGTACTTTCATTTCTAGTAAGTTTCATTGTTGCTTAGATTCTTGGCAATTCTTTCATCAGTTGTCTTTTAAAGTCCCGTTCATGTTGGAGGCACCGTTTAAGGCGCTTCTGGTTGAAAGGATTAGCTGGTAACATCACCGTTACCTGGGGGACATCCGTGTTTTAAAGTTAATTTTATGCATTTGTTCTTATTTTAGTATCTAGTTGTACTTTCTATTTATTATTTCTCTTTTTGGTTTTGCTACTAGTTTATAGAGACACTTCTTATATGCTTTGTTTGTTCCATAAATGACTTAGATGAGTGTATAGAAGGGCTGTCCATCAATTCTTCAGACAAATAAAAGTGGGGAAGATTGCCAACACATTAAAATAGTTCTAGGTTCAAAGGATCCTAACAAACTTGAACATTGGCCCTATCTAACATTACAGTATGTAGTTCAGTACTGAGAAGTGCATAGGTATAGGATAGGCAGCACCTGGCTCAATAGTAGTACTTATAAGAAAGATATGAGCATGTGGGTAAACCACAAATTAAGTATGACCCCACAATATGTTTCATCTGTGAAAAAAGTCAATACAATATTTGGTTCCATCAACAGAGGTATCGTATCAAGATCATCATCAGTGATTAATTCTGCTCTATGCGGTACTAGTCAGGCTGCATCTACAGTATTATGTCCAGCTCTGGTTGCTACAATATAAGAATGATACTAAAAATCTAGAAAGATTTCCAAGAAGAACAAGAATGATGAGAGATTTGGAGACTAAATCCTACGCAGAACAACTAAATGAATTGGATATGTTAAGCCAAAAGAAAAGAAAGCTAAAGGAAGGCATCATAGTAGTCTCCCAAATGTTTCACAGGGAAGAGAGTATTCAAGAGTAGGGCAAGAAAGGTTTTGAAAGGTTTACAGAGGGAGATACAAACATGAAGTAAGGAGGAATTTTCTGATTGGGAGAGCTATTAAACAGTGGAACAGTCCCCTCTGTAAGGGAAAGTTTTCAAGTTTTAAAGCAAAGATTAGGCAGCCAATTGTCTTAAGTTTGTGTGACAAACTATGTTATGGGTAGGGTTCCCTTCCAATCTCATAATTCTGGGATTCATTCATAACCTTTCTTGACCCATCTTTTGTTTTACTGCGATTCTTATGTACCTTACAGTATTCCCACTACATTAAAATTGTTTTCCTCTGGCATATTGAGTTTCATTTCCATGTTAAAAAAGTGGGCAGAAATGTGACCTTATACACAGACATTTTCACATCTTTTAACAAATATTCATTCCTCAAAATAGACCTCATCTAACCCAACTACCTGTCTAGCATTATTATTATCATCATCATTAATTAGGTTTCCTCATATGTTTATCTATTGACTACATTAAACCACTAAGAAAAAATCGTACTGTACATTCTTGCAATGTATTCCTTTTTAAAAGCAATTGAGAGGTTCAAGAAAAAAAATTGCAAGAATTTCTGTTTAGTTAGAAAAAAGCAAATAAATTTTCAAACAATTAAATTTAGAAAAATTAACATTTTGAATGTTCAAAATGTTCTACTGGATGGATTAAATGCAGTAGAATGTAATTGGAAGAAGCCGTTTTCCCCCCTTCAGTATCCCTCATATTGACAGAATCTGCTTTGGAAGACTTCTTATGAGCTGATTTTGAAGACAGTAAAAAATGTTATTGTGGAAGCAGAAACCTGTGTTCATAATTTTGAGTTGGGTTTTTATGCATACTTAATGTTTTAAGGGAGTAGAAGGTGTTGATGCTAGTAATGTTATAAGCAGTTTTATATGTGTTTATTTCTATAGAGGAATATTTATAAAAAGACAATGAATTAGAAGGAGGGATGAATGTTATTATCATTTCTCCATTATAGTCAACTATTACCGTATATGCCGGCGTATTAGGTGACCCAGTGTATAAGACGACCCCCGTCTTTGGTGCCGAGTTTAGCGCTTCCGGAAGTCGTCTTATACGCCGGCATATACGGTACATATATCCATATTTAACAGGGAAAAAAAAGAAAAAGAGAGAATAAAAGAAATTGGACCATCATATTATATTTTCATACTGATAAAAAAATAAATTTCCATCTGAAAGATAATTGCTAAAAAAAGATAATGATGACTATACTTTGCAAAAATGTGAATTAGTTTTTGTTTCCTGGTGAACTATAGCTTATGTCATAAGCCTTTATATTTCTGCATGAACAGCAGTCTCTGCAGAATTGTTAACAGTGAAGCTGTATAATTTTTATTTTTATTATTAGCCAAATTGAATCCTTTAGTGTGCAGCATATAATAAAGCAATGTCTTCTGAAAATGCTGACTAACATGATACTACTTTATTTAGTTTTCAGCCTCAATATTTTCTCTCTTTCTCTCTTCCCCCACCACCCCCTTCATTTTTGTAGACATGAAGCATCCAATATGTCCTGACCACATGGCTGGAGATAAAAGTGTGAATCCATCAGCACTTCGAAGGGACTTTGATGATAAAGGACAGAGATACGATAGGCCAGACTATCGATTAAGTAAAGAGAAAAAGAAGATTATATTTTCCTTTTGTGATGTGTGCAATATTCAGCTGAACTCAGCAGCACAAGCTCAGCTTCATTACCATGGAAAGTCTCATCTGAAAAGAGTAAAACAGCTGAATAATGGGAAGATACCTACAAATACAAGCAATTTATTTGCAAGTTCCAGCACAGGTGGTACTATTATTGTTGTTTGATACTTACATAAACACCTACCACCCCTTTATGTTTCAAGGGTCAGAAATATTGAAAGTTGGAGTGTTTTGCCCAGTCCCAATGCCATTGTTGGAATGTGCTGTTGTTCAATTCTGTAGTTTTTACTTCCTCTCAGTCCCTAGGTAGTTGATGCACATCTGTTTTCCATGCTAGCTGGTATAATGAAGTTAATACATTATAGCAGAATGGACAATCTTTTCCAGCTTGGATTTGCACTGTCTTTCTCTAGGGAGTCGGGCTGCTGATGCTGTGATGTTGTTGGAGAGGATAGGACTAACATTTTCAGATCTTTTATTAATTGTGAGCTGAGGAAGTTAAATGGCAACAGATTTAAGGCATCTATTGTACATATCACAACTTCCTTGAAGAGCACTGGTAGTTTCATTCCCTCAATGAGGTATTAACAATCTCCTAGATCCAGGGAATTATTTCCCCAATTGCTGCCTGAAGGAAGTGGAAGGGGCAAGGATCCAGCCCATAAGTTTCAGAAGATGTCTTAGAACACTATTTATTTAATCGAGGATTTCAGGCTACAAGGAAGCCAGGTAACTAAGTGAACCAATACTTCAATAAATGTCCTGGATCCTGCTCACAAGGAGATGAGAAGGGAATACAGGTGGCTTTCTCAGCCAAATGCTGTTTAATATCAAGCGTGAGAAATCAAGGAATCCAGACAATTCAAATGAAATACATAGCATTGTGGTGACCCAAACTCTCCCCTTTTTGTAGATATACATTATTGTGATGCAAGCTTTATTCCTTTTTATATGTATATAGTATCACAATGCATGTAAAAAGGGGAAAGGGGTTGTGTTAGGATGGTGTAACTCTGCTTTTCTCATTTGTCCCTTCCTGTAAACACCTCTGATTATTGCAGGGGGGTAACAGGTCCCAACTTAATTCAGTAAGAAAAGGGGCGATATAGTTGCAGATACTGTATGGTATAGATATTTTCTGATTCCTATCTTGTTTTTTTTATTTCAATCTTACCAATATGTTGATGATTTAATTTAGGCAGTGAGTTATATACATGTTTGTTTAAATTTTGAAGCCAGTAGGCAGAGCTTATCCTATTCTGTTTGTTTACTTCAATAATGTCATGGCATTTCAGATTAAAAGAAGGTATTTTCTACTTCATGGACTTATCCATATGGTTCTTTCAGCAAGAGGAAAATCATTTGCTGTTGCTTTTTTCCAGAATATTTTTACTTCCCAAACTTTTTATGAAAAGGATCTCTAATAGATTATATTTAAAAAGAAAATGGGATATCAGCGTACTCTGCATCTTTTTGAAAGGAAATAAGGCACATTATTCTTCCTCTATTATATGACCACATTTTTTTAAAAAAAGAAATACAATTTAATTGTTTAATTAAACAAGGTATGGTTATCCATGGTCTGTTCCTGCCTAGCATTTTGAGATTAGTCAAGTCAACTAGCTAAGCAGTAGAAGAAATGGGACTTATTTAGCTAATAAGTCAGCATGAATCAGATTTAAAATTCAGTCTTTCTGTAGCTACTGTATCCGTGCACCCTTATAAAGTCCACCTTGGTTTTTAAAAGCTGAACTTTTAACAAGCTGAATTAAAATAAATCTGATAATATTCAGTATCCTATAAGATGAAAGAAAATAACAAACTAATTTTTTTCTTGATTTAGTTAATAATTTATCAATGTTACAGTATTGTATGTCTTTCCTGCAAGACCACAACTTGACATACATAGGCTTTTGTCTCCCAAATTTTCTCATAACAAAAAATCCCCCGGTTGAGAGTTGAGAGATATGATTGGTCCAGTGAGCTTTCATGGTTGAGGATGAACTAGAATCTGGACCTTGTCCTATAATTAAACCATTAAAACATACTTCTTTTTTTAAAAAAATGTGATCATATAATAAAGGAAGAATAATGTGACTCTTTTCCTTTCAAAAAGATGCAGAGTGTGTTGATATCCCATTTTCTTTTTAAATATAAACCTTTGGAGGTCACCTTTTATAAAAATAATATCCATCAACCTTTCTTATATTAAGATAGATGGAAAAATGTCTTTGTCCTTAAGAAATACTATCTAGGGGAGAGAGAGAAGTAGCTGCTTTTGAATGACTTTTGCTAGTACAGGAAAGTATTAATGAAATGATAGATTTAAACTCATCTGGGGGGAACTTGTTTGTTTCATAGATAAAAAAACGTTTGCCCATTTATCCTTCGGAAGTTTCACTTTCTTTATAATTATTTCTTATAAATGTTTGGCACTTTCTAAAATATTCTCTACTTCCAACTATTTTTGTTTGGTGGCACTGCTAAGACATGTAAAGATCATAACTGTAGTCAGTCAGGCTGCCTGAAACAATAAAATTGAAGTAAATAGAAATAGGTGGTCTTGCTTCAAGACTATATTTGATACAGTAAGAAAATGACATGTAATGTTGGCTCCCTGCTAATGAATTAAGAGCTAGACTGCACACTTCATTGCCCCTTCCTAGAGCAAATATTCTTCCCTTTTTTAGCCAAGAGTAAATAGCACCGGTATTAAATTTTACATGGATTTGTATCTGACAATATTTTTTATCTCATCTTGCCATAAAAATGTTCACGATGACCAACAACTTACAAAAGATAAAAGCAGAAACAAAATTATTAAAATTTAAATTAACAACTAGTTCAGAAAAATTGTTATGGTGGTCCATGATCAGGCAATCACAACCAATAGAAACATGACACAAAGATAATGAATTTGGTCTTTAAAAGACAGTGTTCTTTAAAAGGTATTATTGAGCATGCATGGCTCATTGTGGCAATCAACAAATGAGATGCAGATCTGTTCTGTATGTTCCAGTTAGTATTCTACCAGTGATCTAAGATTTCCCACAATATAGAAAAACGTTTCTTACAGATCAAATCAGATTTATAAAAATATTGGATAAATAACTTAATTGGTGCTCATAATGATGCTACACTTATAGTAAGAGCCATAGCTCAATGGTAAATATTTCATATGTTAAAATCTTCAGGATCTGTTCTTGGCATCTCAAGATAAAACTAAAAAAGATTCCTATTTGAAACTGAGGTTTGCTGCCAGCTAATGGAGGCAATACTGAAATAAATTGAATATTTGAATAAGCCACCCAGAATAAGCCACACAAAGTTGCCTTATTGGTAAGATGGGCAATGTAAATTTAATAAATGAATAAAACTTAACAAATGCTATAACAGGCTGATACAGTAACTTGGTATCCAGATAATCACGTTTAAACTATGCTTCTTTGAATAAACCACACGTTTAAACTATGCTTCTTTGAATAAACCACACTTCACTGAGTGTACATAGCAAACTAAGACATAAATCACAATTTACCAAACATATTGGCTGGGTTCACCCAGACACTATGCCAGAGACAGTTAAACTATTTTATGGTTTAGGACAATATATGACTTGTCCAGTTAATATAAGGCAACTATTTACTAGGGCTTTGCAGCCTACAGGTTTAACTCTAAAACATGTTTTCAGATGTAGAGGAATACTACTATAGTAACTATGTGCAATTCTTCAATGCAAATATGTTTTGCCCGCATTCCCTGCATCTTCAGAGATGTCAGCCCTTTAAGATAGACCAGGTCAGAAAACACGTCAGCAAATACTATCACTCTCTGTTTTTGATACAAACTATAATAAAAGATTCTGGAGAGCTTGACAGTATTTTTCCTTTCTTCCCTTCTTATGTCAAAGAGTTTGTTTCTCACCCTTCTCTATTTCCCAGGCTAATATGGTTGATGGATATTTCCTTCAAGACCATCTCCATACATCTCTTCCAGAAAGGAGCAATGTGATTTTGAGAAATGACAGGGCTGCTTTAAAAAGTTGTTGACAGGTTTACATATGCACTTTAGAAAGCAGCTTTTTGAAACCAAATGTGTAAAGCACTGAAGAAACCTCCTATCTTAATTTCAATTAATTTTTTATTTGGTGAGGAGATATCATTTTCAGAGTTCTAGGGAATATGTTAATAGGGAGACAAGACAAGAAACATATTTATTTATTTATGTTTTTTTTAATCCTGCCTTTATTACTTTATAAATAACTCAAGACAGCAAACATACATAATGCTCCCTCCTCCTATTTTCCCCACAACAGCAACCCTGTGATATTGATGTATGAATGATATTACATGTAATTGAACTAGTGCTGTTTTACAGTGCATTCCCATCATCCCTTAACAATTTCCCTTCAGGAGATATGCTGGTTCAGAATTCTGGGAATTGCAATCCCAACAGATCCTGAAAGCACAAGGTTAAGTAAAGATAGTACATAGTTCCATTAGAGCTACACATACATACTGTTTTCTGAATCATGCACATCCATTTAATTAAAACAGTTAATAATAGCATAAGCTTTAAGTTCCTGGCTCAGGTTTCAACCCAGCAGCAAACACTCTAAATAGCTTTACTCTGCATCCTAAAAAGATCATTTGAAAATTGGAAAAATGACAAGAGACTTCGGTATTCCATCAACATAAGCACTTGTCTCTAAATTTGAAACTGACAGATGAACAAATAAGTACATGTAATAGACCAGGGGTGTCAAACTCAATTTCATTGAGGGCTGCATCAGCATTGTGGTTGCCCTCAGGGGGCCGGGTGGGTACAGCCAGGGTGGGTGCGGCCTACTGGCTGGGCGTTGCTGTGGTGGATGTGGCCAGCTTGATGTCGCTCACGTCAGAGGCACCTGTGAGGGCCTGGGCAGGACTGGGGTGGATCCGAGGGTCTCTGGCAGTGGGGGATGGGACTGGGGTGAGCACCAGAGCATGGTCCACTGGAGGAGTCTTACTGTCCTTCTCAGGCCGTGCGGGAGGGCCCTGGATGGTGATGCAGGCTGCTCCCGTGGCACTGGGACCGTAGAGCCCGGCCTAGCGCAACCCCACTTTCCTGAGGGGGCGCCCAACTGCTCTACCTCCTCAAGGC